CGCGAAATTCCAAAACAAACAAACAAACAAACTACCATGAAGTCTACAACTAGAGTATAGCATTAAACTGGTCCACAGAAAAACGAATCGCAAATTCGTAAAAATATGACCGCCATAATGGAAGAAACATAATTAATAATATTAAGTTCTTTAATATGTACGATATCAAGAAGATAATTGATTTCTAGTATCACTTTTTAAAATACCTAGAGATGAAGACATCAATGACTGTCCTTAATGCTTAAGAATATAATAATTTCAGTGCACTGGTTATCTTTGAGTTTTTAATTCCCCCCCACAGATATTACCTGGGGCGCGGGATGGCCCCCTGGTAGAGTTCCGGGTTTTGGAGCTGGCCAGCTGGTTTCGAATCCATGCTATTCCAAAAATATTCCCTGTACTTTAATATATGTGTGTGCGTTGTAAGAGTGACAGTCACCATTCCTAATATATGGGTGCGTTATAAGAGTGACAGTCAATTCTTAGCATGGATGGTAGGTTGTAGGATGCGGTTGCATGTCTGTCTGCTTTCTCTTTCTTCAGTAGTTCAAAATTATGGACGACGGTAAGTAGGCTTAGTATCTTTACCATAAATACAAACAGATATTACTTGTGATTGGCTCCAATTAAAAAAATCCGATAACCCTAGTGCTTGACATTTTCTATGTTGTTTGGTTAAGTGATGACGTCTACTAATTTATGTAAGAGCTACGGTGTCGTGTGTAAGCATTTCAGATCCAGCTGATTTTGCAACATATTTCGTAATCACGTACATTCTCTGTACTCCGCAAAACCAGAGATACTAATCTAACTCTTCACAGTGCAATCACGACCTCAGTTTACATGTCAGAGAAGAGCTATTAGAACGTTATTCTATGGACGTGAAAAGGAATCGATTTCTTGCCTAGTCTGTACCGTAATAATAAGTCAATCTCCGAAGATCGGTCTGCAACAAAAAAATATCAAAACTCAGTTTACATGTCAGAGAAGAGCTATTAGAACGTTATTCTATGGACGTGAAAATGAATCGATTTCTTGCCTAGTCTGTACCGTAATAATAAGTCAACCTCCGAAGATCGGTCTGCAACAAAAAAATATCAAAACTTTAATCATGAAGACTTAAGTGTTGATGCGCTCTTCTTAGTTTGTTGTTAAGCCCAAAGTTAAACAATGGGCTATATGTGCAATGTCCACCACCGATATCGAAACCTGGTTTTAGTGTTATAAGCCTCCAGACTTACCGCTGAGTCACTGGGGGCACGCATACTCACTAGAAGATCACACACGACGAAAAGTAAATAAAGAAGAAAAAAAATCATCTTTCACCAAAGAAACGTAGTGCATTGGTAAACACAGCAGCTTGTTTGCTGTTTATAGTTACCATCGTTATTGAACGTGGAACGTTTGCAGTAGCTTTGTTTAAGTATATTAGATTACGGTAACGTAAATCCTAAATGTAATTATCCAAAGGGAATAACTGTGGTTATCATTCCTTACTCACAAATTCGATATATTAATACGTGTTGACCTATTAATCTCTAGTATGAGGTGAACCAATACGTATGGGGAATTTTTGGATGCCTACTTCTAACAAAATTAAGTCGTCACAAAAACTTATTTAAAGATATTATCAGTGAAAGAATCGCTGCGTTACTCTCACAGCGCCATCTATTATCATTATTCCAGTCTGAGTCAGCGACGTTATGTAGAATATGGTAAAATAATGGGTTAGCTCTCTAGTCTAGAAGAATTTAATAATTACATTATACTTGTTTTCACAAATAATTCTGACACTCTATGCAAGGCTACTCTTGATGGAACACCGAGATTGACTGTCACACTTGTAACACCCTCTACTAATAAAAATGTGTTTGAGCCTTGGAACTTCAGACCAGCTGAATTTTTTGTAGTTTATAAATTAAAAAAAAATGAAAAAAATTGGGGGCCGATCGCTACGGTAGGCACAACGCAGCTCACCAATTGAGGAGCTGCGCGCAAAAACAAACAATTAGAAATAAAGAAGATACAACCTTGTAGTGTATTGAACTTTCGTTCAGTCGTTACGTCTTACTGTAACAATTAAAAATTTTTTTTAGTTACTTTAAGGACAACTGAAACACTATTATGCGTATTTTAAAAAGAGATGTCATATTGAATCGAGGAATTCAACCAATAACATGTTAGAACACAACCTAGCGGGTGAATTAGTGCTAAAAACTGAGCCTGTAAGACAAATACACTGACTTATAAATAACAAACTTGTTAAATAAAGGAATACGATAAACATTGATTCTGGACCTTGTCTGAGCTGATCAAACTTAACTTTTCAATAATTTTAAATGTAACTGAACAAAAAAAAAGGAAACTTTGTAACCAGCTTAGAATAATTTACATGTGTTCTATCAATTTCTGACGTTTTTCAAGGTGAAGTTATTGAAACTTGTCATGAATAACTCAGTTATCTTGAATATTTTCATGGACAAATTAATGTTGAAAGAAAAATATATTGTTACAGTTACTAAATATCCACTTGATGCGTTAGTTCTGTTCCCTCAGGTAAAACATCAAGTTTTAAAAATATATTGTTACAGTTGCTAAGTGTCCACTTGATACGTTAGTTCTCTTCCCTCAGGTAAAACATCAAGTTTTAATAATATATTGTTACAGTTACTAAATATCCACTTGCTACGTTAGTTCTCTTCCCTCAGGTAAAACATC